ATACAAAAAGGTATATTAAATAATATAATCAACACTCATGGTAGCTTTGCTCAGTTTCACCAAACTGTTGAGAACCCTGACTACTCCTCCAATCACATCCCCTCCTTTTTTACTCTATTCAAAATTTTGATTTTTTTTAATCATCCCCTTAAATTTCTCTATACTTCCAGGACACGTGTATGTTCACCTAAACAATATAGAGAGCTATTTTACACAGTGTTAAGTGTGACATAGATGATATTACTATGTATGTGTTCTTATTTTATTTTATTTTCACTATGCATTTTGTTTGTGAGAGTCATTTGCTTTGCTGTGTGAAATTATGATTCATTTTCACATTGAGTGATTACACCACAATTGATTTTTCCATTCTCTTGTTGATGGATATTTAGGTTGTTTCCAATTCTCACTATTAAAATCAATGCTGCTATAAACATTTCAGGGTATGATTCTTATACATACATGCCAGGGTTTCATCAGTGGTGTACAGAGGAGTAAAATGGCTGGGTCTTAATGCAAACACCTGCTCAAGTTTATTATACCATGCCAAACTATTTTCCAGACCACTAATTTACATTTCCACTAGCCATGAATCAGAGTTCCCATTACACCATGTCCTCAGCAACATGTGATGTTGCCAGACTTTTAGTTTTTGCCAATCGAGTAAAATTAATATGGCATGTCATTGTGGTTTTAATTTGCATTTCTTTGTTGGCTGTGAATTAAGCACTTTGTGCTCTCCGGAGCACCTACTTCAATCTGGCTTCCTACCTCCAAGCTTCTTCATTTCCCTAAATCTCCTGAAGTTTGGCTTTTAGTCTGAACTACCACAACCCCTGAAATCATTTCTTGGCACTGGAACCTGGCAGATAAACACCTCTCCCCAGCCCCATTCCATCCAGGACTGTGCTGGAGTGCTTCACGTGCAGTGATGTATTTAGTGCTTCCAACAAACCTGCAGCAAAGAGTCATGACCCCCACTGTACAGATGAGAACACAGAGAATCGGAGGGGTTAGGAACTTGCCCAAGGACACACAGCTGGGAGCTGGCAGACTCTAAGTCGGGTGCTCTTCACTCCTTATAGGAGATTGCAGAGGTAGGTCGTGCCACAGGGGGTCCCACAGCAGGAAGGCCCTTAGGATACCCTCTGCCCTTCACTCAGAAAGCACACGTGGTGGTTTGGTGTGCACCTGGGAAGAAAGTACTATTGCCCTCTGGAGTCAGCCTGAGTGTGAAGCTCGACAAAGGGACAAAGTCGGGGCAGGGAGAACAATGGGACGGGGAGGAGTTCCGACTCAGTGCCTTTACCATTCAAGCCTGCTGTTCCCCGAATTGAGTGGCTGATTGTAGACAGTGTTCAATATCTCTGCACCCCCTAATGAAAGAGTTAGACCTTTTTAAATCTTCTTTCAGTCCTCTGATGCCAAGTGAGAATCTCAGTTTGGTGGTAGTTTGCCTTAAACAACCTGATAGTTTTTAATCCCCCTTTTAAATGAAGGCAATTTGGATTTCCCAACTTCTCAGTTTTAAGCGGGAGATAGCATCTCACTCACATTCGATTACTGTCTTTTGTTTGCCTCCTATTTAGTTTTATGGTTAATGGATCGTTTTGTTTAAGAAACACATAACATCTACAATTATGTTGGGCACTGCTCCCAATGTTTTACAAATACTAATTTTTACTTCTCCCATGGACCCCCCAAGGTGGGCACTGTTCCTAGTATGTCCATTTTACAGATGAGGACTCTGAGGCCCAGGAAGTTTAAGTAAACTTCCCCGAGGTCCCGCAGCCTGTAAATGGCAGTGCTGGGATTTGAGCTGAAGCAGGCTGGTCCGGAGTCTGCGTTTTAACCACCGTAGTACACACAGTCTCTCCATTTCATACTAGTTCCCTGTTGACTGTAGGGATATATTTTCTTTTGAGACATGTTTATTGGAGTAAACATGGGAGGCAAGGTAAAGATAAATAGCAAGTAGATAATAGCACCGGTGAAAACCTTGAAAGCCGTAAGTGGCAGGAGTTCTGGAACATTCCAACATGGCTTCATGGATGCAAGGGCAGAGCAAGGGGACCGTGAAGACTGAGTTTAGATGGATGGGAGGCGGGGAGGTGTTCACCAGGAGAAGACTCAGCACAGGAATTTGCCTCATGCAAAGGCAAAGAGGCATGACGGGGCCTCAGGTGCTAGGGGGAGGCTGAGTAATTCAAAGTAGCTGGCCAGTAACTGCAAGAACCCAGCACCCTTGTATAGCACTTTCCGGTTCACAGAGCACTGTCACATCTGCTTTCCACTGACCCTTCTTAACTGCCAGGTGCAGTGGGCATGATTGTCCCCATTTTAGAGATGATAACCAGGGTCAGAGAAATACCAGGAAAAAAAATTTTGTTATTTTTTGCTCCAAGTTACTCTGGCTTCCAATTCTGGGCCCTTTGCTCTATTCCACTGTATCAGGTATCTTTGGTAGCAAGCAACAGAAACATAATTCACACGACTGAGCAAAATAGGGTGGGTGGTTTTGGGGGGGCGGGGTTTATGTAAAGGAAAAGTCCAAGTGAGTGGACATTAGATACGGCTGGATCCAGGTCCTCAAATAGTGCCGTGGGGACTCTGGGTCTGTATTTCTCAGCTTTTGAGAAAATTTCAGGCAGGCTCTCCCTAAGAAGTGACAAAGATGGCTGCCATCTTCCAGCAGGGAGCCAAGAAAGTACCTCTTTACTAGAGTTCTAGGAAAATCCCCAGACTGCTCTCATTCTCCTTGCTTGGGTTGGTGTCCATCCCTGATCCATTCAATGAGGCCAGGCAGATGGGGTGCTGTATTGGCCAGGTCTGGGTCGGGTGCCCACCTGTGGAGCAAGGGTTCCGGTCTTCTCCACGCAGACCACACAGGTACAGCTCCAGTTTGAGAAGCTCTTAATAAGGGAGGAAGAGGTGCCAGGCAGACAGAGGCAGCAGGTGCATCCCCTCTAACCCCAGGCACCTGTGTGTCATATGTGCAGAGCTGAGGCATTTGGAGAGATGGAGAGCCTTGAATCTGGGCAAGGGAGTTGGTGCTTTATCCTGGGGTCCAGATGGAGCCTCTGGGGAGCCTCTGGGGAGTGACACAGATGGAGCTATGCCAGGCCTGGTACTGGGGTCAGAGGTGTGGACCTGCCAGTGAGGGGCATAGAGGAACCCCACCTCCCATGATGGGTAAGTGTGATAAGAGGGCTCCGGCAGGCCTTGGGCCAGGCAAGATCAGTGTTCCTGAAAGCAGATTTAAAAGGTTGTGGCCCCAACATTATTTTATTTTAATAGCGATGTTATTCATTTTAAGATGTACTGGAGAAAAAACATACAGTTATGAATATCATTGCTTAGGATGAGGCTGGAGTTGGATTTTTTAAATGAGCTCATTTATAGAAAACATTAAATAAATGGTAGCACACATGATCTACAAATATGGCCAACATTTTGAAAGTGACAAATTTAGGGACCTCTTGGCTAGATCATTCTGGGGCCCCTCTACTTCTGATGCTCTAAATTCTCTATCCATCACAGCTGTTTGTTGAGTGTTTATGTGTCAGGGGCCATGCCCAGGGTTTTCTGCAAAATGCTTCCTTGAACTCTTACAAGAATCTGGGAGGCAAGCTTTACTTTCTCTACAGGGCTCAGAGAGGGGGAGTGACCAGCCCAGAGCAACACAGCTGGTGACCTGACCTCTCAGGGTGCTTTGCCACTGTTTGCTGGGTGACTTGTTAGGGAACTCAGAGGGAGCTCTCAGTGGGGCTAGAGTAGGGTCTGAGGGAACCCAGGGAAAGGGGGGGTCTTCCCACTGTGGGCTCAGGGATGGTGTCTGGAAGAAGCCATACCTACAACTTGGTTCCTGCATGGGGCATCCCTCTAGGCTCCAGTTCCTGTTACAGTCCTGTAACCAGTCTGGGTGGGGCTCGTGGGCCTGGGCAGGTGGATGCCCCCTTACCCACCCAGCCTCTGGCTGGCACCTCCCCAAGCAGACATAGAGCTGGGGTGCTGTGGGCATTGCCAGCCTGGGGGGTCACTCCTTTGCCGAAGGCACCAGCGTCTGCTCCCCCTGGGGAGGCCCATACTATTCTTCAAAGAGGCATCTCCTGCATCTCATCCAGATCAGGGAGTCAGGCTCACTTCCATGGGGTCCGGCCTGGGTTCTCCGGATGCTTTCCAGTGCACTTGCTGACCTGGGCTCTGTGACTGAGTAAGGAGCCTTGTTATCGGGCTAACCTTACCTTAGGTATCCAGTAGGGGTCTTCTTTGTGGGCTAACTTTGGATCTGTTATTCAGTAAGAAGCCAGTCTATCGGGTGAACGTCAACAAGGGTGTTTTGTGCAAAGAAGGACTCCAGATTTCTGCTTGTCGTAAATACTGCTTTCCAACCAACTTCCCCTCCCCGCCTCCCTGCCTCCCTGCCTCCCTGCCTCTCTTTCAGATGGATAAATGCCCACATTTACTCTCATGCATAGCACTACATCCTTAGGCTTCCAGGGGCAGGAGAGCTACTAGCTGGGAGCCTCTCTCTTTCAATTCACCTCTCAGGGGTGCCTGGGTGGCTCCGTTGTTAAGTGTCTGCCTTCGGCTCAGGTCATGATCCCAGGGTCCTGGGATCGAGCCCCGCATCGGGCTCCCTGCTCGGCGGGAGGCCTGCTTCTCCCTCTCCCACTCCCCCTGCTTGTGTTCCCTCTCTCGCTGTGTCTCTGTCAAATAAATAAATAAAATCTTTAAAAAAATAAAATAAAATAAATTCACCTCTCATTTGGGACTGTGTTAGGGGACAGGAAGAAGGTGGTAGAAATGGGGTCCAAAGGGCGAGTCAGCCACTTCTAAGGGGCAGGAATCCTTGGGACCCTCCACGGGCTTCTCCAACTCTTATTTTTCTGAGAATCTGAGGCAAGTCTTCCAAGGGAGGGAGAGGACCAGAGGGAGGCTGTTCAGGGTCCCTTGGTCCCCAGGCCCGGGTACACCCTCTCACTCTAAGTCTCTTCCAGGATCCTGAGAGTCAGCATGCCGTGTGGCTCAGCGGCCGCTCTGTTCCTGCTGATGCTCCAGGGTGGTGAGTAGCTGCCCCAAGGTCTGTGCGTGGGGAGGGCCCGGCTGGCCCATAGGCTCCAGGGCACAGCTAGAGGCTACAAGCCGGGGTCCATGGCATCTGCTCACTTGGGCTAGCCTAGCCAGCTCTCTGTCAACTAGAACCTGTCCCTCCAGAGAGCCCCATGGCTCATGTGAATCCCACGGGGACCAGACCACCAGCTGAGGTCTTCATATCTCACTGCAGGGACGAGAAACTTGATTCTCTGTTTCCACAGCTCCCTGCCTTGGCTGGCTCCCAACCCTCAGAGGGAGGAAGTCCTGCCTTTGGTCTAACCTCAATTTCTCTTTGTGCAATGACTCTCCTAGGAGATGTTTATCAACAATCACAGAGTCCTCAGCAGGCACTGATGGTCCCCAGCCGGGGGTGGGCAGGAGGAAGGGAGGTGGAGAAAGGGAGGGGGAAGAGAGGTAGCCAAACCTTGGAAGGCACCCCCAGGGGGCCAGAGGATGTTGCAGTCAGAGGGAGAGAAGTTAGTGACCGGAGCTGGGAAAGGCCAGGAGTTAGACTTGGGCTCAGAGATCCGGGAGGCCTTCCCAGAGGAGGCGGGGAGGCAGCATACAGGCTTAAACAGGGGTTGGAGGCAGGGGTCCCTCAGCCTCTGCTCTGCTGATTCTGCATTTCCCTCTGGTTTTTACCGAAAGACCCAGAGCCTCAAATAGCTTCTTCAGGAAACAGATGTCTGGCTCTTTTATTTTCCCCTTCTGAGTGACCAGCACTCTGTCCTGGGTCACCCGCCAGGGCACCACGCACGTCCCATGAGCACAAATAAGCCCCTGCTGCACCCGCATATCCTCCCTGCCCTCCAAGCGGCCAGTGTCCCCAGCTTACAACGGGGGACTCAGAGCAGTCGTGAGTCATGCGTCCACCGTTCCGGCCTCTCACGGCCTCCTGCATGCTCTGACAACCCTGGACGAGGGAGGCCCTGGGGCCGTCGGCCCGGGGGCTGGGCTACGGACCAGGGGACTGGGTCCTTCGTGCCACATCCACGCCAGCTCAGGGGCTGCTGTCCCCTTCCCAGTTCAAGACTGGGACTAACTGTGTCAAGCCCTTGGTGACCTTGAGCCTAGCTAGGAACAGTAGCTCCTCCCCCAAGTTCTAGAACCCAGAGCTAGAACAACCAGGGTATAAACTGGGAGAATACATAGCCACATGGTGGTTCCCGCAGCCCCGGACTTGGCCCCACCAAAATCAGTCCTCTTTTCTCCACCAAGTGTCTTCACTGGCATCCCTGTGCCCACTGGCATCCCTGTGCCCACCGGCATCCCTGTGCCCACTGGCATCCCTGTGCCCACCGGCATCCCTGTGCCCACTGGCATCCCTGTACCCACTGGCATCCCTGTGCCCACGGGCATCCCTGTGCCCACCGGCATCCCTGTGCCCACGGGCATCCCTGTGCCCACCGGCATCCCTGTGCTCCTCCCCAGGGGAAGGCTCCTCTTAGCACAGGACTCACTGCCACAGCTCAGATCCCTTGGTGGTGGCTGCTGGGAGACCTGTGTTGAGGGGGATTCTGAGGGTCGCCCAAGGGAGAGAGTGCCATGATCGATTAGTAATGTCTGCTCCGTGTGCAACAATAGCACAGATGAGACTTTTCTTTCCTGGGTGAGAGTCTGAGCAGCCCAGACCTAGAGAGACAGGAGGTGTGGTCCAGTCTCAGAGTCTCTGGGTCCTTGGCTATAAAATGGCCATGGCAGCTGGCTAAGGGTGCTTCCAACAACAGTCTTCTTGGCTCCGAATCCAGCTTCTGACCTAAAATGAAGGCCAGGAAGGGAACATACCACCACCCCTTGGGTCTTCATTAGTTGAGGAAAAATAGGAAAGAGCCACTAAGAATGAATCCACTTAAAAAGGGGAACGAATTTCTGGTAAATAGTTGGAGGGTAGGCGGAGGAGAAATAGCAGTGTTGATAATCTTACAGAACAAAACTCAGCTCAAACTTACTATATTTATTTTGTTGCAAATTTAGATTATGGTTGCACAGAAACTTAGATTATGGTTGCACCTATAATTTTAGAACAAAGGGGAGCAATTAACGTTGGGGGTGGGAGAGCATGAAGTCTCCCAACAAAACGGCCTGAGTGAGCAGTCCTTGTGTCACTTGGCGGCAGTGGTCGTGGTGGTGGTTTGGCCAGTAGGCTAATACGGACATTCTGGCAAAAGTTTTCGAGGACTTCTTGGTTTGGGATGTTTTCCTCCTCCCTTGATGTACTTCCAGCCTCCCTGAGGTCTGTGTCCCAGCTGCTTTGAGTCACTATGATTCACATTCAGAGCATCCTGTCTCCATAGCCAGCCTCGAAACTCGGGGGTCACACAAAGAATACTCAGGTGGCAGGGACATCCTTCCCCAAGCCCATATCTTAGTGTCCCTGTGCGTTGCCATATTTGTCCTGGCCCTGGGGACCCGTGCCTCCACTCAGCCTCCAGCCCTTGGGGGGGCGAAGGGGGGAGGCACCACGCAACCTCCGGCCAGCCTTCCCCCCCGCCACGACAGCCTCTGTCTCCCCTAATCTTCCAGCCTGGGGTTGCCTAGACCTCGTCTGCTACACTGATTACTTACAAAGAGTCACCTGCACCCTGGAGACAAGGACCCTCCACCCCAGCACGCTCACCCTCACCTGGTAAGTGGCCGGACCTCAGCAGCCCTGGGGATGCTACTCAGGGTAAGCCACTGGAGGGCTGGGGTGAAGTAGGGCTGCTGGGGACCACAGACCGAGGGGACCTACTATGTGCCCTGCAGATAGTTTAACAATCAACATAATAGACCCACTTCCTGAGGGTTCTCTCAGCAAGTTCACCAACAGCATTTGGTTTTGCCCCAAGAAAGATGGTTCATTAGTGGGGAATTGCCTGGCCCACCTTACAGACGGCCACATGGGGCTCATGGGGCTCGTCCAGAGCGTGCAGCTGAGAGGCCACGGGGCGGTTCCGTCCGCCTCCAAAGGCCATAGTCTCTTGCCCACACAGCCCTAACTGTGTGTGTGTGTGTGTGTTTTTTTTTTTTTTTAAGGATTTACTTATTCATTTTAGAGAGGAGGAGAGAGAGGGGCAGAGGGAGAGAACCCCAAGCAGACTCGGTGCTGAGCACAGAGCCCAAACCGGGGCTCGATCCCACGACCCCAAGATCATGGCCTGAGCCGAAACCAAGAGTCGGTGAATGGTGGAGCTGGGATTCAAAACAGGCAGCCTGATTCCAAAATCCATGGGCCCCTATTAGTCCACATTGTTAAAGAACAGTGAGGGGAGGCTTGACTCAAGACCACCGCCAGAGACACAGGGACCCTGCATGGGGCTTTGCAGTGGGGGGAGAGATCGGGTTCAACCCCAAATACAAGGAAAAGGGGGGATTTAGAGCCAAGGAGCAGGGTGGGGTTAGTGGATGGAAAATTACCAAGAGGACACGTCAAGGGGAAAGGGGGTGGGTTCTGGCTACATGATGTCACAGGGTTCTTGTTGACGGCAGCCCAGGCTGGTCAGACATCACCCGGGGGATGAGGCGGAGGACAGGAGAGATGACACGGAAGCCCAAAGGTCAGGGCCTCATCGAGGAGAGTGCTCAGAGGAGCCTGAACAGAGCTTGCTCAAGGAGAGAATCTTTGTTCATAAGCTGCTCAGGATTAAGAAAATCTGTCATCCTCAATTCATTCATACATTCATTCATCCAGAACACATTTACTGACCTCCTGCTAGACATTTGCAGGCACTGGGGGTTCAGCAGAGCCCAAGACCGAGGAGGTCCCAGAAGTTCTGCAGCAGGGTGTGTCTGGGGAAATAGACAATAAACACATAAGCAACCATCAGGAAGCTTTCTGATGACAGTGAGTGCTAGAAAGAACAGGAACCAGGGCCACGGGGTCCAGAGAGAGTGACATGGGGGCGGGCAGTCAGGGCAGGCTTCTGGTTGGGAAGGAGGCAGCCATAAGCTGGAGATGGAGCATTCCAGGCAGAGGGCACTGCCTGTGCAAAGGCCCTGAGGTGGGGAAGAGCTGGTGAGTTTGAGGAATAGCGAGGAAGTCAGTGCGGCCAGAGTGGAATGAGTCAGTGTGAGGGAGAATACAAGCAGGGGTGAGGGGGAGGCTGAGGCCAGATTGCCCTGTATGGGTGGTGAGAAGTCACTGGAGGATTTTAGGCATGGGAGCGACAGGGTTTTTTTTAAAGGCCCCCCTGGCTCCTGTGTAAGAGACTTGCATTGACTGAGCAGAAGTTTCTGTTCTAACAAATATTTAGCAGAGAACAGTCTGCACATCCATACTGGCCTTGAAGGGTAGTCATGTTCAGAGCCTGAAAGTGTAGGTAGGGAAATAAATATCTGCTGAACTCCTACACATACTTCAAAACCCATCACTTAATGCCTAGTGGGAGTAAAAAGGCCAGAGCAGTGCTCCCAAACCCATACCAACAGCCTCGGGGGAATTTCAGCCAGAGAGGGGTATGAGATTCATTTGGCTCTTACCTTGACCTTCAGCCCAGGTACTCACTGGGTATTCCATGGATGTTGGGTGGAAGGAGGGCAGGAAGGAGACCTGAGGTGCTTAGCATCCTTCCTATAGGACCGTGATCCAGCTGATGGGATTGACAGGGACAGACTTAGGCTCAGCCTAGGCAAGAATGGCCCAAATTTCCAAAGTTGCGAGTTGTTGCCCTTTGTGAGGTGGTGAGTTCCTTGTTCCTTGGAGGCACACAAACCAAGCCTGGACGCCGCCCATCAGGGATGCTTCGGGGGAGGGAACACCTTCCCTGGGAAAGTGTTGGTGGACCAGGTGACCACCCCCCAGCCTCACCTCAAGTCCCCCCCAGCCCCGAGCTTCTGGCCATGTACACAGAGCCCCACCGGCCTTCAGGCATGACTGGCTGCTCTGTCCTTGAAGGCAAGACCCATATGGGGACCTGGAGGACGAGGTGACCTCCTGCAGCCTCCACCGGTCCGCCCACAATGCCACTCACGCCGAGTACACGTGCCACATGGATGTGTTTCACTTCATGGCCGACGACATTTTCAGTGTCAACGTCACAGACCAGTCTGGCAGGTTCTCCCAGGAGTGCGGCTCCTTCATCCTGGCTAAGAGCAGTGAGTATCCCTGGGGACCCCAGAGCAGAGGAGAACCCAGGCCGGGGCTGAGCCCCATGCCCCGCGGACCGGTTCGCCACCATCATCAAAACTGACCTGTCCTGGGAGCTCATTTCTCCTTCGAGTTTGTTTCATAGGAGCGCGACCAAGGCATGATGGGTTGATACCTAGGTTTGGGCCTTAACCAAAGAGAGGCAGCTGAGGCCTGAAACGGAGCTGGACCGGGGCCCAGGACCTGCCCCTCTGTGACCCCGGACTGGCTCACTGTTTGTAGAGTGAGGGCCCTTCTGGGCTTCTGCCCCCATTTTGAGGCAAGCGGGGGAGGCTGTGTCACAGGAGAAAGGTTTCGCTGAGACTTCTCCTGTTTATTAGCTCCAGTGAGGCCCAGAGTTTCCCTTCACCCTGGAGGAAGGGAGGAAGCCTGGCTGGGGAAATCAGTTGTTTCTATGGGCCCAGAACCAGGGCAGGGCAGGGAAGGGCACAGGAGGTAAGTGTGAGTGAGTGTGTGTGTGCCCCCAAAGGGGAGCGTCCAGGGAGTGGGTGAGAGGCCCGTGCCCAGAGGCATGTAAGTGGACCTCGAAGAAAGGCCTGCCCTTGGGGAGGCTCAGCCCCTGCGGCCTGGTAGCGTATCCCCAGATTCCCAGCAGTGGGGCAAGAAGATAAGAGGACGTCTGTCATTCACACTCTGGGGGTCCAGGTTTGTGCCACTTTGCACACAGAGGGCATGCGCAAAGCTTCACGTATACGCAGACACATCCAGACTCACACACATGCACCCACACACTCTAAATACCCCCTCAGATACACAGATGTCTTACCAACAACTCCTGGCCTGGACAGCTTGGACAGATGATGCTCACGCTCTCTCTCAGACACATGCTGATGCGTGCACACACATGCACACACATGCTCACTTGGCCATCTGGACCCAGGCATGGCAAGTTTATGGAGCAGGGCCACCTTCCTGCCTCTGGGGGAGCTGGGACAGGCAGCATCTCCACCCCTTCCCTGCAAAGCAGAGTGCAAGGCAGAGAAGGAGCTGCTTTGCCTTGCAGGGGGCTCCAAGTCACCGTTCCCTCCGACCCCTCCCTCCTGCCCTCCCTGCCAGGGTCTGAGGCCCACCTATGCCCAGATGTGGCAGAAGGTGGCATTTGGCTCCCCGCCCACTCCGGCACCTTCCTCCTCCTGGGCACCGGGCTCCGAAAACATCCAAGTCCCTCCCTCAATCAGTCCACACCACCCAGCCCAGGCCACACAGGGAAGTGGAGAGCTCCACCCAGCCTGGGGAAGACGGAAGAGGGTTTAAGAATAAGTCCAGTCCAAACAGACCCATGGCTCAAAGACAGAAAAGCCCTCGATGGGGCCCTGGGAATGTGCACCTTCTCCCAACTCTGGCAGAGAAGTAAGCAGCTTTAGAGTGCCTTTTAGCAACCCCTGAAAGCTTCATTTGTTGATTTAATAAATATTTCTCCAGGGCTTCTGGTGCACCTGCTCTGTCCTAGGAGCCATGGGCACAGTGTTGACCCAGGAGAACAAAACCCTGGCCCCAAGCAGCTCAGATCCCAGAGAAGGGGTGGATGGTGAACAGGACTATACAGGGAAATGCAGAAAATGTTAGATGTTGGCAAATAAGGTGGAAGAAGAAGAGAAGAAAGGAGACGGGGGATAGGAGCTTCTGGCTTCTCTCTCGGAAGGGACCTCCTTCTGCTACTGAGTTTGGTCCCCGAGAATTGTCACCCCATGAAAGAGGAGCTGGTACCCTTTTACAAGAGAAGAAACGAAGGCATCTAACCGTGTTGTATCCCGCTCACGTTCATGAAACAAACTTGGGATGGAGCAGAATGGGAGGCCCGGCTTTGACCCTTGCCTGGGAGGCACCCAGGAGGGTGTGGTGCTGTGACTCAGGCCTCTGCCCTTGCACTTTCCAGAAGTCTTGGAACGCAGGGCCACTGAGGAGGGTCAGGCTGCTCTGCAGACAGCCCTGCAGGAGCTCAGTACTCTTCGCTTTCACCATTAGCATTAACGAATATTAATGCTAGTTCATTAGCATTAATGCTAATCAGAGTCTTTGGCTTCTCTGGGAAGCTACAGCTAAAAGAAAATGATGTCATCATTTAGAATAGAAACGCAGAACCGGTACCTCTGGCCCACACGTCCCTTAGCAAGTTTTTGGATTAGGAGCTAACTTTATTCTTTTTTTAAGATTTTTAATTTATATATTTGAGAGAGCGTGTGCATGCATGAGAGAGATTGAGAGAGAGAGGCATGGGCGGGGGCGGGGGTGTATGGGGGAGGGGCAGAGGCTGGGGAAAGGGGAGAAGCAGACTCCCCACCGAGCAGAGAGCCAGACCGTGGGCTCGATCCCAGGACCCCAGGATCATGACCTGAGCCAAAGGCAGACACTTAACCGACTGAGCCACCCAGGCGCCCGGATTAGTAACGAACTTTAATGTTGGAGAGAGCTTTCCCCCATGTGGGGTTCCAGGCTGTTCTCTGGCCACCCTGGTCTGCGGTCCTGCCCAGCCTGAGGGTGGCATCCTGCTTACATGTCCTCAGACCCCAAACCCGCTTTGCCCACTCCTGTTACCCTCCTCCGCCTGCAGCTGCAACTCCACTGTGGTCTGAACTTCTCATTTCTCGGATGCACAAACTGAGGCCCGGAGACAGGGGCTGCCTCGCCCAGAGTCACATGGGGGTACGGATCCCGACGCCACCACCAACACCGGGCCGGGCGCAGAGAACTTCCTGCCACCACGTTCTTCTCAGCTGCGGCCCGGTCTCACCCCTTTCTTATCTTTCTGGCTTTTCCCTTCAAGTCAAGCCGTCCCCCCCTTTCAACGTGACCGTGACCTTCTCGGGGCATTATAACATCTCCTGGAGCTCCAGTTATGATTTCTTCGCGCTGAAGGGCAAGCTGCAGTATGAGCTGCGGTACAGGAAGCAGGGAGGCCCCTGGGCTCTGGTGAGGCTCGCAGACGCTTGGGGGACGGGGGGGGGGGGCGCCGTGCTGAGCATCCAGGGCACGCTGGTGGTAGGGAGGGGGTTCTGAGCGACAGGTGAGCTGGTGACTCACAGCCAAGAATGGAACCAAGGACCCACCGAGGCTGCAAGCTCCCCCTTCTGCCCTCCCACCGCGTGCTGCCTCCCCTCATTTCTCCTTGGGGTGGGAGGCCCCTGAAAATTCTTTCCTTCATGCCCCTGGTTCCTTGATCAGCATGCCAGAGAGGAAGAGGGTAACACATCCTCAGGTTTCCTCCCGGAGTCTAGTAGAGTCACAGCCGAGGAAGTTTCAGAAATGGGGCCATCTGGAGCCTTCCCTGCTTGGCTTGGAATGGCCACAGGTGAAGAGCTCCAGAAGTTTCAATAACAAAGAAAGTCCAGTGTTAGAGGGACCGTTGTTTCCAAGGTGAAGGCTTCTAGAACTATCCTTGTTTAGAGCGTTGGAGAGTTCCCAAAGGGCCCACTATTCAGAACAGTCACGGCTGAAGCCTTCTAGAATGATCCATCCTTCAGAGAGGTCCCAGTTGAAGAATTCCGTACATGTGGTTGTTTGGAATGTCCCCCGTGGAAGGCTTCCAGAGATATCCACTGCTGAGAAGCCTGTGGTCCAAGACTTGCAGAAATGCCCGCTGTTGAGAAGGTCCACTGTGGAACAATTCCAGAAATGACCACTGTCTGGAAGGCTGCTGGTTAAAGATTCTGGTTAAAGAGGGGCCACTGCTACTCCTGGGCCGGTCCCAGGCCTCGCAGGGAGGGTCCCCCTGCCAGGACTGTGAGGGGAGAGCTGGGGTCAGAGAGAAACAAGGTCTAGGCAGTGCCTGTGGCTCCGTGCCGCCCCCACTGAAGTGGACAGGAAGCAAGCTGAGCCTGGTCTTGTGGAGGGAGCGGGGCCTTTGCAGGAGACGCTCAGCCCCTCTCGGGGCAGCTGGGAAAGGGTGCTTCTGCTGGAGGCCGGGGCTGGCCTGGCTGAGCTTGACCCGGTGCATCCTCCCTGGGTGCTGGCAGGGTCCGAGGAGAAAGCTGATCTCGGTGGACTTGAGGAGCGTCTCTCTCCTTCCCTTGGAGTTCCAGAGTGACTCGAGCTATGAGCTGCAGATCCGCGCAGGGCCCCAGCCCGGCTCCTCCTTCCAGGGGACCTGGAGCGAGTGGAGTGACCCGGTCACCTTTCACACCCAGCCGGAAGGTAGGGGTGACTCCTGGCAGGGCGCTCGGTGCTCTTCATAACTCCCTGAAATGGGAATTATTATCCCCATTTTGCAGATGGGAACACAGAGGCCCAGCGAGATGAAGTCTTGCCTGGGGTGGGGGTGGGAGCAGGATCCCAGACCGCCCCACTTCCGGGCTCCCGCGGCCTTCCCATGCCCTCCACACCAGCCCAGACCCATTGCCCCCCACACCCGCCCCACGTGGCCTCTGGGAGAGGTGGGTTCCACTTTACCCAGTGTCTGCTTCCTTCGCAGAGATAAAGGGAGGCTGGCACACTTACCTGCTCTATCTCCTCCTTGTCATCATACTCCCCATCCTGGTCTTCTTAGGCCTGAAGATCCACCTGCCTTGGAGGTGAGGCCAGGGATTCAGGGAGGCAGGGGGAGGGGGTCGGCCTGGGTCACAGCCCCTCTATAACCACCCAGGGTTGGGGGGACGCCGCCTGTCATTGCGACAGTGGTCATGACAATGACGGTGGTGAGAAACAGCTCCTGTTCACTGGGCACTGTGCGCGTCCACCTCACCTTCACCTTCAGGCCTTAGGAGCTTGCCATTCGGGACTTACCTCCCCTGGACAAATGGGGCAAAAAGCAAGGATGCACAGAGCTAGCAAGCAACTTGCCCAAAGCTGCACAGCTCTGAGGTGGAGTCTGCCCCTGTGCTCATGACAGTGACCTAGGCTGTGATCTTGTCCGATGACGTTTACGCTTTGCATCCCCGGGGGGCACGCAGGGCCCCCAGGTCGGGGGGGGGGAATAATCCACCACCCCCTTCCTTTCTGCTCCAACCAGGGTTTGCTGAGCCCTGGGCAAGGGTGGGGGGTATCTGCACACCCAGCTCAATGTGTTCATCTGCATCCAGAGGCTTTGACAGAGATGGAGGCAGAGAAGCTGGAGGGGGAGAGAGCGCGATGCGAATAATAATGATCACGGAACGCTCTCTGGGTGCTGGGGTGCCGGGGCTCCCCACACCCCTGTGGGACCGGCCCTTTGCTCATCCCTGGTGGTGGAGGAGCAAGCTGAGGCTCAGAAGGGGCGTCATTTGCCCGGCACAGAATAGACAGCCAAGCGCTTAAACTCCGGGCACCTGCATGAGACTTGCTGCCCCCATTTTACAGATGTGGAAGTTGAGGCCCGGGGTAGAGAGGTGGAAGGGAGGTGCATTGAGTGTGCTTTGGGAGGAGCTGAGTGTCCTGCAGGACAAAGTTGGGGAGCCCCTGAGCGGGAGGCCAGGCTGCCCTCTGGGGAATGGTGAGGGCTCACCTCATCTCTGCCCTCCCAGGCTGTGGAAGAAGGTGTGGGGGCAGGTGCCCAACCCACAGAAGTTCTTCCAGCCCCTCTATGTGGGCCAGAGTGGAGACTTCAAGGTGAGTGCCCTCCAGCCCGTGACAAGCCCTGCGGAGCCTCTTACCCTCTGGGAGCTTACCTCCACCCGCACCCCAGGACCCCAGCTCCACCCTGCAGGCCCAGAGCGCCCGGGGCCCCAGCCAGGCCCCGATCTCCACATCTGCAGAGTGCAGGAAATAATTCGGGTGGGGCGGAACTGGTATAACAATGACACAAAATCGGGTAGCATCTCCCAATCCAGGAGCCAGGCTGGGGGAGGGGGCGAGCCCAGTGGTTCCTTGAGTCACAAACTGGTCTCCTGCTTCTTTGTCAGAAGCCCTTGAAACGGAGCAGGTTATGGGAAGGGTCTGGCCCCACCTGCCAAATACACCAACCCCCTGCCAAGCCCCAACCACCTGTCACCCGCCGGCGCCCACGGGTTGTCTGTGCCCATTTACCGCTCAACACCCACCCTGTGTGGGAGGCCCCGCCGCAGAGAGGATGTGGTGACTTGGGAGGGGGGGCAGCCCGCCCACTCCTGCTGAGCCTGGATGTCAGGAAACGTGGACCAGAGCGTTGGCTGAGCTCCTGCTCTCTGCCTGGCGCTGCACTGAGCGCCCTCTGCCCCCTGCCCCTTCCATCCTGACTGTGGCCCTTGGGGGGCCGGTGCTCCATCGTCCACAGGGCACCCCTGGGAGACCGAGCCTCCGAGTGGGGAAGTGGCTTTCGTAAGGCAGGGGAGCAGCATGGACTCCCACCCGCACCCCCGGGGGGAGAGAAACCTTCCTCCTTCCTCTGCACCTTCCCTGAAGTTCAGATACCACACCTATTCAGTGTTTACTCCCCTGATACTCACATGTGCCCCGCCCTCTGCGAGGAACTTCCAAGATGTGAATGCATCGACTCCTCACCACAGTTCTGTGCAGTGGGTGCTACTGGCAGATGGGGGGCCTCACCCGGGGCCTGCGATGTTTTCTGAGTCAGCATCCTCAAAACTGGGAGATTCTGGTTCTCAGGGGTTTTCACTGCTGCTCGGATGGAGACCCTATGTCATGAGTGGGACCCCAGGCCAGTGAGGGCGGGGTGGGGGATGCTCAAAGCTTGGGGGCGCTGCTTTGGTCCATCATCGTCCCACATCCCTTACCCACCAAGCACACAGAGGCCTCTCCCAGGGGCTTGTCACTGATTCCCTCCACGTGTTCATTTAGTTAATACACATTTATTGGGCACCGACTGTATGCGAGGCAGTGTGTGAGCCTCCGGGAATACAGCTGGGACCAGAAGAATCGAGGCGTCTGCCCTGGCCAAGTGTCCACTCCAGTGGGGACACCAACAGGAGAACGTTCGTTTTCAAGAAGCATCCCGGAGGAAATGAAACAGGGGACCGGGTGGCAGCTCTGTCGCCCAGACCTCAGGCCCTCCTGCCCCCATGTCCCTACAATTCAGCAATCTTGGCCCCTGCTACCCAGGCCACCGAGCACTGATTGTCTGGCAGGCTACTGAGGGCAGTGGCTCCCTCCTGCAGGTGGGGAAGCTGAGGCCCAGGGAGGAAGCGACAGTGGTGAGGAGGGTCCCTGGAGAGGGGTGCACCATGGCTCCGACCCGTGGCGATCTCTCTATCCTCCCGTGTCTCTGTCTCTTGCTGCCTCTGTCTGGTCTCTACGTCTGTCTGTCCCTACCCTCCTTGCCCCCGTCCTGTCATGACTTTCCCCCTTTTCTCTCTCACAGAAATGGGTGGGTGCACCCTTCACTGCCTCCAGCCTGGAGCTGGGACCCTGGAGCCCCGAGGTGCTTTCACCCCTGGAGATGTTCAACCTTTGCCCACCACAGAGCGCCACCAAGGGGCCGCAGCCCATGCCTCTGCCCGAGCCCACCGACCTGGTGGAAGCCGACGAGGGACCTGAGCCCGACTCCTGCGGCCCGGCCCCCGCCACCACCGGCAGCTTGGGTGGCTCGGCTTACAGCCAGGAGAGGGACCAACCGTACAGTGTACTGTCCATCGACACGGTGACCGTAGCAGACATGGAGGGGCCATGTGCCTGGTCCTGCACCTGTGGGGATGACGGCTACCCAGCCCTGAACTTGGACGCCAGCCTGGAGCCCGGCTCAGGCACCGAGGACCCGCTCTTAGACACTGGGACCACAGTCCTCTCCTGTGGCTGCGTCTCGACTGGTGGCCTTGCCGGGCCGGGAGGCCCTCCTGGCAGCCTCCTTGACCGGCTAAAGCTGCCCCTTGAAGATGAGGCAGGTTGGACCCCAGGCCCGCCGTGGAGTGGCGAGCCCCCCGGAGGGGCATCTGACAGCGAAGCGGGCTCGCCTCCCGCCGGCCTGGACATGGACACTTTTGATAGTGGCTTCGCGGGCTCTGACTGCGGCAGCCCTGTGGAGTGTGACTTTACCAGCCCCCGGGACGAGGGGCCCCCCAGGAGCTACCTCCGCCAGTGGGTGATCATGGCCCCGCCACCCGAGGGACCCGAGCCCCAGGCCAGCCAGTGAGGCTGACCGGCCATCCAGAGCCATTCGGCCCGAGCCAGAGCTGGGCTCGCCTGGGCCATGGGGTAAAGTGGCCTGTGACCTTTGGGCTCCCAGATGGGGCCCCTGAGCCTGGTTGACGCCTGGCGTGCATGTGTGGCCCCAGGAGCGCATGGGTGTGTCCGTGTGTGGGAGCAGGTGCCCGTGGGCGCGGGGGAAAGACGCACATGTGTCTGGGACTGTGTGCACACGATGACAGCCTCCCTCCTTTCTGGACGTGGGGCGGCCCCCCACGGACCCTGCCCTGCGGGGCCTGCCTCCAGGAACCGTGAGAAGTCCCTGCTGTTCCTTTTCATGTCTCAGGGGGACAGGAAGGGGATGGAGTGAGCCCATGGGGACCCTGGCTGTGGGAAGGTTTGTGGGGGCCTGTGGACCGAGGTCTGCATCCCAGCTGTGATGCCCCTGAGCTGTGCCACTTTGGGCAAGCCGCTTCCCCTTTCTGGGCTGGCTACTGGGGGGGGGGTCCCACAGGTGGCATGGCCCCCCTCGGGGAGAAATCGGTGAGGTCACCCACTGTACAGGCTGCAGCAGAGCAGACCCTCAATAAATTCAGCTTCCTTCCTTCAGGGGCCCAGACCAAGCTTGTGCTGGTGGTGGGCGGGGGTGAGAAAGCAGCCACAGTGTGGGGCTGTCCTGCCCACAGAGGGGCACTTGGGGGTGGCTTCAGGCTTCAAGTCAGCCTGTCCCTTAGAAACAGCCCCCACCGGCCAAGATTTGCTGGCTTCTGCTGCCCACTCAGTATTCCCCTTATGCTCCCAAGAAATATTTATCAGTCACGAGTATGTGTGCCGGGTTCTGGGGTACGCGGTGGGGGGGCTCCTTCGGCACTTGTGGTGGAGGACGGGCAGACAGGCAGTGATGACGCTGCCCTCCACTCCTCCGGCATCTTGTTTGCTCATCCCCGGGAATCAGGGGGGAGTCAAGGTCTTGTTGACGATTTCTCAGAGACCCGTTCAAAATGCGAATTGAGACGCTAAGAAAATCCATCTTGGCCACATTTGAAGGCACCTTACTGAGCATCAGTGCCACAGACTGCATGCAGCTCATGCTTTAACAAACCAAACCAAAACCAGAAACAGCAAACAAGACCATAGGTTGTTTTCTTAGTCAGGGTGCTCACCTTTAGAGGCGTCTTTTACGAGCCTGCCAAGCAGGGTTTGGGAGGCCGAGAGTCTGATTCAGCAGGCCAGCTGGCTCCCAGAGCCCAGGGACATCCCTGCCCCAGCCTGGAACTGCCCGGGGCCCTCGTTCTCCCAGGAGGCCGGGCTGCTGGGCGGAACCCAAAGGGGAAAAGCTCTGGTTTGTCTGTCCTCTTGGATGAGCCTGAGCTACCTGTTGGTGGGAGTCAGTCCTGCAGAAAGCCTCACCGTGACTCATCTGTAACATGGGGTGGTTGGGGGGGTGAGTCCCCAAGAGAGTCCTGGGTGCTTGAAAGTTCTAGAACATCAATGGTTTCAACCATGGGGCTGTTGACCTGGGATCGAAGTGAGGCTCAGTTGGGAGCTCAAGTCCGACACTGGAGCTCCTGCACAAGTGAGCAGCCCTCACCATCCCCCACTGTCACCCCCCGGGGACACTTGGGCCAGGTGTGCTGTGGTTTCACATCCTCCTGCGGCCAGCGAGTTCTGGGGGCCACCCTGAGCCGCCGGCTCCCCGGGGGAGGCAGCACAGCTCTCCTGCACACAGAGCTCTGGGCTGGGGGCCAGGGCTGGGGCTTGGTCAGGGGCTCTAGCCTGGGCCAGGCGTGGCTCCTCACCGACTCTGTCTCTGAAGGGGACTCAGCTGGTAAGCGGGCTGCAAAGAGGAGGCAGGAGCTGGTCCTCCTGGGAGGGTGGGTTAGCAGGAGGTGGGTGGGGGGGTGATGAGGGACCAGTAGGTACATTGGCAGGTGGACGGACAGACCGATGAAGGGATGGTGAAAGGCTAGAAGGAAGAACGCTGATGGACAGGTGGAAACAGATGCTAGAGGCCAGGATCGTAAGTCAAATATAAGGCCCGCGAGAGCAACAACTTCCTCTGTTTTGTTCCCTGCCCTACCTGTAGCCTGGCAATAGGCACTCAAAAAAGCCCGATTTGTAGGGCGTCGTGTGTGCTTTATTCACATGGTGTAGACGCTTCCACCATGGCCAATTTCAAGCTACCAGACAACCCCAAGCGGGATTGGGAAGAGATGTGTGTCATCAACCCTCCTAGGTGGCCCGAGCCAGCCCCAGCACCCCACTGACGGGAGCCCCGGGGGGCATCGGGAGGGGCTGGAGGGCTTCAAGGGGGAGGTGGTGGTTGTTGGACTTTGACAAATGGATAGGACTTGTTAGATGCACCGGCTTTTCTGGCAGAAGGAAGAGCTTGAGCAAGGGCCTGGAGGTGTGACGGAGCCCTGAGCACCAGGAGGTGGGGAAGATGGCTCCTCGTCACCCAGAGTCTGGGCCACAATTGCCAATGACTCTCTTAAGAGAGTCAGGAGGATTGATAGCAACACCCCGTGCACGGAAGCCACGCTCTGCTCCTGGGCCGGCCCTTTTCCATCTGCGGCGTTGGAGAGGGCAGGGCTATCCATGTGACCAATGAAGTGAAGGTGCACAATGGGCCAGAGGCTTGCTGGCCTGAGGTCACACACTGGATTCAAGATCACAGTCAGAACTCAAACTCTGGTCTCCTGACCCCAAATGCAGCTCTTCTTCCCCTTATTCAGCTGGGAGGGACCTAGGTCAAGAGGGAACACCTGTGGGGTGCCTGTTGCTTCTGTTCATGCAGCGTCCTTGTGGGGCAGCTGACCCCAGCTCTGGTAGTAGCCGACAGAGCATTCCATGCCAACCCCACCCCCCGCCACACTGCTGGTTCTGGGACATACACGTGACTCAAACCGGTCCATGTGCTCTTTCTGCTAGGACTGCCAAGCCATAGGGATGGACTGAAGCCTGGGGCTGTGGGGTGGGGCCAACGCACAAGAAAGCAGAGCTGGGAACGGAGATTGAGTCCTGGTAGTATCTCTTGAGCTCCTGGATCCAGCCATGCCCCATGGACTTTGGAGGTACCCAAGTGTGGAAGTCATTCTGCCCTTCATCTTCTGGCCCCCCTGGTATGGTACCACATGACCAGGACTGGCCAGGGAGTTGTAAGCACAAGTGGTAAGTCTCACTTCTGGACCAGAGCATGTACCTGACCATTGTGATGTTCTCCCGAGTGTTGTTCCTCTCTGCCACCAGGAGCTGTGACAAATGAGCTGGTGGCTGCTCCATCAGCCTGGGTCCCTGCGGGAGGAGACGCGGAGAGCACAGCCTCCACTTTACCCGAGATGGACATATATCGTGAGCAAGAAATCAATCCCTGTTGTAACCCACCGAGATCTGGGGGCTGTGTGTTGGCACCGCATAACCCAGCCTGTCCCGACCGGGCTGATGAGCTGAGAGTTTCCCTTTTTTGCTTAAGTGGGTCTTACATGGGTTTGTGTCACTTGCGGTGGGAAGTGTCCTAGCATAATGAGGACTCTCCTCCCAACCTGAGGAAGGACTAACTACATTCAAAGAGGCCAGAGGGCCAGGCTCCATCCCTTCTCACGGGTGACCGTGGGCAGTCGCCTGCTGTCTCTGAGGCTCAGTTTCCTCTTCGTAAAGTGGGGGGCAGCCATCAGCCTCTCGGCTTGCTGGGAGGACCTCCACGTCTGGGAGGAATGGCTCAGCTGGGATGAGACCCACACACAAGGAGGAGGAGCTGGTGTCTTCCTTTAGGCTCCCCGTTGGAGGGGCTCTTCTCCCTCCCCTGCTTGGGACTTGGTCTGCGGACGGGCCACGTGGGGGCACATCTCACCCACAGCCGCCCAGACACACCATCAGAAAACCAGGGACGGGAAAGACGGAGAAGCAAGCACGTACATGCACTTGCCTCCCGGGAGCCCACCGCACCTAGAGAACAGGAGAAGTACACGTTCTCGACAGGGAGGAGATGCGAAAGGGGTCACCCACGGTTCAGAAGCATCAAGCCACGAAAGGAAAACAAGAGGAGTCGGGTCTCTGCTCAGACGTCACCTTCTCAGCAGGACCTCCCCTGGGCCCCTCCCTCAAACTGCAGCACCCCACTGACTTAGTTGTCTCCCGTAACATGTATTAAGCTCTAACCTGTGTCTTTTACTGATTTGTCGTGTTTACTGTCAGTCCCGCTAGCACAGGGATTTTGTCTGTTTTACTCACCCTGCATTTCATTTTATTTTTTTTTATTGTTATGTTAATCACCATATATTACATCATTAGTTTTTGATGCAGTGTTCCATGATTCATTGTTTGTTCATAACACCCAGTGCACCATGCAAAACGTGCCCTCCTCAATACCCATCACCAGGCTAACCCATCCCCCCACCCCCCTACCCTCTAGAACCCTCAGTTTGTTTTTCAGAGTCCATCATCTCTCATGGTTCGTCTCCCCCTCTGACATACTCCCCTTTTCTTCCTCTCCTGTTATCTTCTTCTTTTCCTTTTTTCTTAAAATATGTTGCGTTATTTGTTCCAGAAGTACAGATCTGTGATTCAACAGTCTTGCACAATTCACAGCGCTCACCGTAGCACATACCCTCCCCAATGTCTATCACCCAGCCATCCCATCCCTCCCACCCCCAACCACTCCAGTAACACTCAGTTTGTTTCCTGAGATTAAGAATTCCTCATATCAGTGAGGTCATGTGATACATGTCTTTCTCTGATTGACTTATTTCACTCAGCATAACACCCTCCAGTTCCATCCACGTCGTTGCAAATGGCAAGATCTCATTCCGTTTGATGGCTGCATAATATTCCATTGTGTATATATACCACATCTTCTTTATCCATTCATCTGTCGATGGGCATCTTGGCTCTTTCCACAGTTTGGCTATTGTGGATATTGCTGCTATAAACATTGGGGTACATGTACCCCTTCGGGTCCCTACATTTGTATCTTTGTGGTAAATACCCAGTAGTGCAATTGCTGGATCGAACGGTAGCTCTAATTTCAACTGTTTGAGGAACCTCCATACTGTTTTCCAGAGGTCACCCTGCATTTCAGAGCCTAGAATGGTGCCTGGCACACACACGGCAGGTGCTCAGCAGATGCTGAATGGATGAGCGTGTGAAGCTATCAGTTAACGGCAGAGCAGTGGCTGATGAGGCAGTGGGCAGAGAGAACGGAGGGGACTGAGCCCAGGAGGGAGCCACCTGCCCTGGACCTGGAGATACCACAGAACGGGGCAGAGAGATGAAGACGGGGGCCTCCCGAGAAGTTTTTGAATGGAGCAAGAGATCCTCTCCCGTTGCTCACCCCGGGGGGGCAGCGAGGGGTCTTTCCCCCGTCCCTGGGGGGCCACAGATCTGAGGGGTTTTCTTTTAACATTGGTGGCCCCGGAGAAGAAACCTTCTCTTTCTGCAATTTAGGGGGTCTCCTAGAATAGAGCTGGTTGCTCACCCCAAAGCAGCCCCCACCTCCGGCAAGCAGCGTGGCGGGGGGGCATTGGGGGCCACATGACCTGAGCTGGCAACGCCAGGCAGATAAACCTACTAGCTGCCAGTCTGCAGAAGCTATTTTCTCTCTCTGTGCCTCGATGTCTTC